ACGAGTGAGGGAAGAATGGAGCGTGAGATTGACAGGCGGATCGGTGCAGCGTGCGCAGTGATGCGGTCGCTGTATCGGACCGTTGTGGTGAAGAGGGAGCTGAGCCGAAAGGCAAAGCTCTCGATTTACCGGTCAATCTTCGTTCCCTCCCTCATCTATGGTCATGAGCTGTGGGTAATGACCGAAAGAACGAGATCGCGGATACAAGCGGTCGAAATGAGCTTCCTCCGCAGAGTGGCTGGGCGCTCCCTTAGAGATAGGGTGAGGAGCTCAGTCACACGGGAGGAGCTCGGAGTAGAGCCGCTGCTTCTCCACGTCGAGAGGAACCAGTTGAGGTGGCTCGGGCATCTGTTCCGGATGCCTCCTGGACGCCTCCCTGGGGAGGTGTTCCGGGCACGTCCCACCGGGAGGAGGCCCCGCGGAAGACCTAGGACACGCTGGAGGGACTATGTCTCTCAGCTGGCCTGGGAACGCCTTGGGGTCCCCCCGGACGAGCTGGAGGAAGTGTGTGTGGATAGGGAAGTCTGGGCGTCTCTGCTTAGACTGCTGCCCCCGCGACCCGGCAACGGATAAAGCGGAAGAAAATGGATGGATGGATGGAAGGATATATTCTATATAAAACATTTTTCATGTTAAGATAGCCTTTTGGTCAGTACTTCTTGAAATGGTTGATATATAGGATTACATGTTTTACTGTAAATATGAGATGATGATACTTCAAACAGTATGATTAAGTTAGATTCCATTATACTGAAACTGAGTTTGTTTTTTTCTCATGAAAACCAAAAAATATGTGTTGTAAATTTTAAAAGGAAAGTGGGATCTATTTTTCCTCTTTCCAGAATTGTTTTATCTTTGTGCATTCCCAAAATAGATGACTAATTATTCTTTACACAAAGTGCAATTAGGATCTATTGTTTCAATATATTTCACCATCAAGTGATTACTGTTGCAAAGGAAATTAGATTTATGTTGCAAGTTGGTTTAATTTGTCTCTTTCTTCAAATCTGTATTGAAATGACTAATTGCTTCGCTGTTGCATTGATATGAAACAGGTGAATAAAAAGAACATTGAGTGTGTGACTATGCGGGGGCCGTGTATTACTGTCCCCAACAGAGCGTGAAATTGTTTATTTTTCTGCTGCCATTTTTGTTTAAAATTAGGAGAAGGATCACGTCTCCTCTCCACAAAATATCACGGTTGTCACAGTGCAAACATCACTCGAATCGGCCAAGAAACTAGCTCCGTATTGATTGCCACAAATTCACCTCTGAGCACTCTGTCATTTGGCAACAGTTAGTCAGTTAGTGATTGAAAGACGTCTACGGTACATAGACGTCTGCCACTTCTTATTTTTATTTATTTATTTAGCTCAATTTTTTCATGGTATGCAAAAAAACATTACAAAAATCCAGCAAGTGCAACCGTAATACATTCCATGAAAAAAAAGTCTTATTATTAAAAGTATTGCTCGTATACTCTCATACTGAATTTATTGAGAGATTATTGTGGCTAATTTGTGTTTTGTGCGTTCTTTCTGACACATCATGTTTTGTGATGTCATCTTGAGGAATCAGTTTTGGTCAGTCCAAATGAGCAGATTATCCAGGTTTGTGTAAATGCATAATTCCAACCCATGTCCCCCACACGACATTCTTGTTCCCTTTGATCTTTCATTAACAATTTATAGCATTTTGTCGTTCACAGTCAGACTTCCGTTTCGCCAATTATTGTCGAGCCCACCTCAGTACATCTGCCTCCCATCCTCAGTGGTCTGTCTGCCCCTCTGTGGGGAAAACGTGCAAGGACATTTTGCTCTCATTTTTCAAAGGGAGAAGTCATGGCACACATTCAGGCATCTGGGTTAAAACCACTGTAGTGTAGACCCAATACTGAGGGTAGGAATTAGGCAAATGAAAGCCATGCATGAGAACAGAGCGTTGGAATGGAAGCAGAGAATACATAAGGAACACATTTTTGATTGATTGATTGGATTTATTTCAAGCTTATAAACAGGAATCAACCATAGAACTTATAGCAATTACATATTATACTTGACACGTACATTAAAGGGTTTCATTTTGTTCACTCCTGTCAGAGCTCAAAATGGTTCCAACTACCCTTTACTTGCATGCTGAGAAATCTTCTGGTGTTCCTTTACTGTGGATGGGAAACACTACAATATATGATCATTTGTCTTTGCAGTTATTATAACTAAGTACTTAGTTGTGTTTTGAATGAATGATTTAAAATAGTTGTTTATTATTGCAACTGGAGTATACTGATTCTTAAAGCTTTCTGTTTTGGTGTATATGTTATATGTTGGTTATATGTTAGTATATATTATCATTTTAATTTATGTTTCTTAAATCAAGTTACATGTCAGGGAATCTGTTATAATTCATGGGTTTTATTACCTTGCGCAGATACTGTATGTTTTACAGAACTGCTTCACCTTTTTGACCATATTTTTCTTTGTTCAAGCCTCGGGGCTATAGTCTTGGAGTTGTTTTTCTGTGTGGGCGGATCTGTATTCCATCTCTTTTACCACTTTGCAATTGACCTTCCACCTGTAACTCCCCCTTCATTCCACCATTCCATCTTTCCTCTGGGCAAACAGCAGACGTAAACTTCTTCAGCAACCAATCACTAATGGAGAGTGCCAGACAAAGCTATACAACATCAACATCAGCGAAAATAAATATATGATTATGTCAAAAAGACCCTCTGAATGTATTAGGTTCTGTTGAAGATTATACATTTTTAAAAGAGTATCCAAAGTCATGATCCCTTTTAGTGAACCTTCATAGAGTTGGGATTGACTCAAAAAATTCAGTTCATACAAATCCAACCCACTTCACATTGACAGCATTTACATAAACCGTCAGAAAATTAAAACACACTGTAAAACACACACAAGATAATTGATCGTTTTAAAACAAATGAGTTCAGTGATGATCAGTCAGGCATGGCTAAAAAGATCTCAATCTAGACTTAAATATAGGGCAGTGGCTTGTCTCACTTCTTCAGGAAGATTGTTCCATACTTTAGCTGCGTAGGTCTGGAATGCTGCCTCCCCTTGGTTATTCCAGACTCTGGTTTAACCTTAACTCTTACCCTGTGCTCCTCAGAGTCTTGTTCTCACATAAGCCTTAATTCACTTTCAGAACCTTAACGACATGCAGGTTACAATGATGGTGCGTAGACCATTCTAAATTTACTATAATTGTGGCTTCTTGATAAATTTATCTGAGAGTGCTCCAGGCCACAGTTTGGCTCAAAGAGATGTACCACATGTACGTAATTATGTCGCACGTTCACGTTCTCTCAAAAACCCCCAACTTGTATTCAGATCAGTAGGACAGTAACAGACCATGAGTGAGCAGCAGGGGGCAGCAGAGCACAGGCGATGATGTAGTTTCTCTGTGTTGTTTGTTGTGACTGGTTGAAAATGTGGTCTCATATTGGTATTTAGCTATTTCATCAAATAAAGTTTGTAGCATTAAGTGAAAGAGTCAAATGACAGGATTTGATAAATGTTGAATGCTAATGATTTTTGGGTGAATAGGTCAATCTGTGACCTCCTGTTGACCTAGCTATCACATTCTGTCCAGATGTTGCCTTTCTTTGTGAGTGAAATATGTCAATGATAGTGAAAGATCACAAAGCCCAAGATTTATGCTGTTGTTTTATGGTTATGTGAAACCTGTAGGACTTTGACTGAAAGAAGGATGGATTAAAGATTATTTTACAATTATTGTGTTGTTTTTATGTTAACATCAAACATTATTTCATTATATGTTGTTAGGTATATACAATTATGATCTAAAAATTAAAGTCTTGATGTGGCATAATTCCTAAAAATCCATGGAAAAGGTCCAGATCACTGACAAGTTTGCAGGCCCTAGGCCAGCTCCTTTGTAGTAATGGATTTTCTTTCCTTGAAAAATGCTGGTGTTGGAAACAGAGCACACCTTGGCACTGACGTTTACTATGAGAACAGCTGAGAGGAGCTGGCTTCTGCTGGCCCACAGAATCATGAATGAACTGAAATTGTGAATGGACAATTCTCCTCATAACCATATTGTTTCCTTGGTCTGTTCACATATATGCATGTTAGTCAATGCATGTTTTTTTACCCTGTGCTTGTGTAAAAGATACAATATAAATGCCCCAATCCATCCATGTACCTCTCCCTAGTCCTTATCCATCCATCCTGTCCCCCCAAGTGTCCTGATTGGCCCTCACCTAGCAACCACATGATAATTTGGCATAATGTGACGCCCCCTGATGCATGGTGAGGGGCTTCACCCCCCTTTATAGCTGCTGGTGTTTGGGCTTGAATGGACAAAACATGAAGGGTGAATAGATTTGCAGAAAAGGAAGAATTTCACGCTCATATTGTGACATGTGACTGTTGTCCACCATTCAAGCTAAGCGGGGCTTTCGCTGCAGCTTGACAGCAGTGACCAATGTTTCTCTTATTTTTTTCCCCATATGTACTCCATATGCAGCTGGTGTGTTTTCATCAAAATAACAGGCTCTGAGAAGGGAGCCGGCACTTTGAGGACCATTTATGAGCTCAGTGGTTCCTCCATGGATCTGGGTTCCTCTGACACGCACACATGCAGACAGATAAAGATGGCTGCTGTCGGCGTGCAGCGGCATCTGACGTGAGAGCTGCCAGTGTGAAGGGCATCCCAAAAATGTTCTTCCCTCGGTTTCCTTCAAAATAAAACCAATTATATCAATATTCTCACATGGATCCCCTGCCCCCTCAGAGAAATTGTGATGTCAAAAGCAATAGCACATTACTTTAATTGTCTTTATTAAAGCCCCACTGTGTAACTGGTTAGTCCAATCTTTTTATGTCACAACTTATTAAAGTGGAAGATGTTTTGAAAATGTAAATTCAATTCACAATTGGATTTACAAATTTTAAATGTCACTCTTACTTTTACCATAACATACACATCAGCTCATCTTTGTCCCTCAAGACTTAATTCTTCTTGTCAGCTGATATTGGAATAAACTTAAGCCCAAACCAGGGTTCGACGTAAAGGTAGAGGCACACCGCTGTGGAGGACGGCCTGAAACAGAGCGTGGTCGCCATGGTAACAGATCCCCTCCCCAGCCTCGCTCGGTCCCTCCCTCTCCCACACTCTCCTCCTCCTCCGCCTCTGTGCGTGGTGGCGTCGCTGCTGCTGCTGGTAATGCTGGTGTCTTTGCCTGGCTCACCTCTCCTGGACATGCGGCTCCACACTGCCAGCGGATGACACGCAAAGGACGAGCGGCGAGAGGAGAGCGCCCGCTGTGTGTCCATACTCATGTCCTTCACTCTCACAGCCACGAGAGTGCAGGGAGCAACAACCTCTGAAAGGACAGACGTACAGAAGGATATACACTAAACTACTTTAAATACCTACTCTTCTCCATTCTCCTTGTCAAGGAGGGCATTTTTCTTCCCTTTCCCCCCCTTTCCTTTTCTGCCCCGATTTTTTCCTCTGAGATCCCGGTTTTGTCAATTACGGCCACTGAACTTCTCTGGGATTTCAGGTGAGGCGCGCGTGTGTAGTGAGTGGTGTTCCTCCGTGGTTTTTGACAACCTACCATGGCTCACGCGGCCTCCCAATTGAAGAAGAATCGGGGGGAAGTGGATGTGAATGCATTAGAAGAGGAGAAGGAGAAGCGGAGAAAGAGCAGGAGAGCAGCGTCCCGGGAACAAAAGAGAAAGGTAACAGGCGCGAGCTGGAGGAAGGGAACACTGGATGCTGGTTGGTCCGCTGCCTGGTGGCTTCATCAGCTCCGCTTGCATCACTGAAGTGTGACTATTGACACTCATTCCACTGTACACTATAAGCTTGTTTCAATCGTATCATCCATGAAATTGCTTTTCTGAAATGCCAAGTATGAGCGGTAACTTTGTTTATACACTAAGCACCAACTTTTATATTTGCCGGTAAAACAAAATGCAAGGTATAGACATTTTAGTTTTATTGTGCCTTATGTAGCCTTATGTCCGTTCGGTTGTATCTATCTTCCAGACTTTATCATTCGTTGCAAGTTTAAATGTTGAGCTTATTTGTAACTGATTTTGCAATTGACACAGTTGAGGTCATCCTATTTGGTACACATTCTTAGCAGAGGTCAAAACCAAACTCTGCTCCTCTCCTTTCCTAACCACTTTCGTTTGGTAACTGTGGTTTTTTGTGTATGTTGTGTGCGTGTGCGCGTGGATGCACAGACAGCCATGTATAATGCATGCATAACTGGTTTATTGATGACCAAGCTTTTCAAATGATGGAGGTGGAAGTGAAATACACGTGGACCCCTCTCCAAGATATGTCAACTCTCCCCTTTGCACAGAGCCAGAGTTTAAGTCAGGCTGAATCACCAAAACTTTCAGCCAAACAAGACAGCTACAAGGCTTCGCTTTTATGTACCGCTTTGCATTTAAAACAGCTGTGTGTGTGTTTTGGCATCAGCTCCATTCTGAGCCTGATGTGAGGTGAATTGTCCGAGTGGAGGTCTGTTGGATAACAATGACAGTTACTGTACTTGGTGCCCATGGATGCCTGGTTTTGAATTCTGCTGCTGACGATGTTATTTGACCTCAACATAAAAAAATAATACAAAAAACTGGTCATCATGGGGAAATCGTTGCTAACACCTATAAAAAGAATCCGTTATTATGGCACATTATCTGTTGGCATACTTCTGTATACTGTCAGTATTTATGTGGGTTCATGTAGTTGAGGTTGTTATAGTTCAGAAGGTGAGGTCTGTATTGATTGGCTGCACAATGGTACGTGTGTGTATAAAAAGCCTCTCCTCCTTCACTTGGCCCCTTTCTTTCCTACTGCCCTTGTGTTTCTTTTACCCTTTAACTTTTGCCTCTTGTCTTATGGCTGGACTGTCCAGATAGTGAGCTGTTGTTTGGATCACATTTTTCCCAATTCCCTATTACCGGGCCTATGGCATCTTTGCGTTTCTTTCTTATTGCATTTCTGGTGTTTCTTGGTGTTGGTGATTTGACAATTGTTTAAAGTCCGCAGAGAAGATGCTGTTGTGAATTAGGGCTATACGAAAATACATTGAAATTGAATTGAACTGTTAACAACAACTCAACTAAAACTACTAAAAGTCATACTTGTTACTTACTCCTCTTGGATTTTTTTGAGCACGAGATATTTCCTTTGTGTGCTTCGAAGCGCTTTCATCACAACACACATCATATGCTCCAAAGAAGGCAAAAACAAAACGCGTAGGCCATTCCCGATGTAAATTAAACGACTTTTTGACCCACTGAAATGCTCACCTTTCCTATGCCCTTAAATTAGAAAATCTGCTTTACTTTCACAAAATTGAGTACTTTGCATAAAAGAGTTTGATTCTATCTTTTAAGTACCCACCCTTATTGTTTTATCATTGTTTCTATAACTGTACATAGGCTTCTTTGGGTGGTACATCTGAAGTTCAATATTTTATCCACAATTCTGTTCTTTGGGTTGTACATATTTTAGATGTATACATAAACAACGTTGTCATATTTAAGGCTTTGTTTTTCCTTGATTTATACCAAACACATCTTTTAGACCAAGTGTAGTTATGGTTGTATTTGGAAGACCCGATGTTTAGATATGGTGTTCATCTTAACTTTAGAGTAATGTCCTTTTTAAATGCAGGAGAAGATTTCTGTTCAAGTTCGGCGATAGATCTCAGAAAAATGTTGGCGCAAGCTCTGATATTCTACTTTGTAAAACTTTAAAGAAAAAACTTGAAACCTTCCTCAAACATTAGAATCCAGCAGCCCCAGTGGATTCCAGGAGAGTGAGACAGGTTTGGTGTCGCACTTTCTCACTCTAATGTCGCAATATTTGTACAATATTTAGTGAGCAAGCTCTCTTAATCTGAACCATTGGAGCATGATTCCAGTTGATCACATCTGTTATATACAGTAATGTCCGCTTATCAGAGCACAAGTTCTTACAAGTGTCTTTAACTTTATATGCTGTCAACATGCTGGAGGGCAATTGGATGTAAATTGGATGTCTGCCTCGTGCTGCCTTCAGCATATGCCCGTGGCAACTGTGGCCCTAATGACTGATGGGACTCACAGACCAATGGAATAATTCCATTGAGTAAAAAGAATCAACAACAAATGCCATAGAGTGCTGGTATGTTGTCAGTATGCACGATGTACTCTATTTTCAGTCAAAGCTGGCACGTGCTTCTTCCTCTGCCGCTGCCCCTCCCCACTGGCTCATAAAAGATGGAGGTTAATGAATTCGGCACTCATGCATGCCTCGGCTAATTACATTGGCATTGGGAACCCCTCCCACTATTACAAAATGTTTTCACCAGCAAGATGGCCACCGGCTGGACTGATTGTGGTGACTTTGTGGAGGTTGCCAAGTTTCTGTTTATGAGGATTTTGGATATCAGGATCATTAGATAGCATTTATATTTACCTGCACACAGACTGTTCAATAGATAGTGATATGAAAGTCAGTGTCGTAGTGAAAATGTGTGTGAAGTCTCCAAGGGACCCTTTTGGCCCTCACAAGTCTGAACAACCCAATACGTCAATAGTCATCAAATTAAATAGAAAATCGAATTGTCACAACACACTTCCCGGTTTGTGTGTTGCAAATCCAGATCAGGCTTTTCACACAATATGCTGCAGCTTTTGACAGCTTTTTTTTGTCTGTTAATGTGACTAAATAATTCATTGTCATCATCACATCGCATGTTTATCAGTCATCTATCATCCTGAGGTGTGCGAGTTTGCAACCAACTAACGCAACCTCACTCCACAATCTGCTCCCATTGTTCTACATTAGCTCCATTCTCTTAAGGGAAATGAGCGGGCGTAATAAGGATTGTTCTAATTATTGATCTAACACTGTGAGGGTCCATGTGGAGAACTGGAAGGGGGGTGGGGAGTTTCTTAGGGAGGATTTTGTAAGTGGAAACCAGACCTTGTAGGGATTTGTTGGTCCTGGCACTAGGAAAACCCATGTTGTTTGATTGTGGTGGGTATAGCATTCTTTCATCTAGCAAAGCCAAGGCTAACTCATGCATCAGGTGAATGACAGGCCGTGTGCATCCAGAGAGTGTGTGTGTGACATGGGCTGTGGATGATGCTGGTGGGCACATGAGCTGGAGGTGCTGAGAAGCTGAGAGGAAAAAATACAGAAGGAGAGATTAGGGGTGGTGGAGTGGAAAGAAAGGAAAGAAGAGAGAGGGGCAGATAAGGAGGAATGGAAGGAATTAAAGAGCCAGTCCGACACATGATGGTAAGCCTAAAGGTCGTTCCAAGGTGACTGCTGCATTTCTTTCTTCTCCTGCACACTCGCCCATCTTGTCCTCCTTTTTTTCTCTCTGATATCTTTTCTCACTGGGGGAAAAAGAAAAATCCAATTTCACATATGCCCATTTGTGTGCAAAACTAAATAGTCATTGTAGCTGTTGGGTTGTAGAGTTCATTCTGAGATCTGATTGTGAAAACCTGCCAATGTAACTGGGTAGAATGTCCACATCTAATAACATACATGCAGTAAGCGTCATACGACAAACAGCAAGTGAAAATTAAAAACAACAGCATTTACTATTTTCCTACCAATTGAATGAATGAATGAATGAGCAGCACATATCAAATTCTGTAATAACATATCACATTCTTTTTGGTAAATGGAGCTGTCCATAGCATTGTATAGTGAGAAATAGCAATTTTTAGAACGAGTAGTATTTGTTATAGAAAGTAAGAAGGTTTAGTTTAGTTTAATTTAATTGAAAAGGGGACAGCACTATTTGATAAAACATAGGATTAAACATGAGTAAAAAAGCCATCTGCAGTCTCCTGACATGATGTTAAAAAATCTAATAAAAATACATACCAATGCTTTGATGCCACAGATGCTAGTAGCTGCTACACACTAAAGACACATAATTGACTGATTTTTATTTCTTGTAACTAGCCTGACTAGATTTCAATTGTGTCAGTGGTGATTAGGGCTTTAATCATTAATCCATTCATCGCAACTTTAAGCGCCAGCTATTTTTTTACGAACTCCCAATACATGTATGTGCTGTGGGATGTGATTTTACATGGGATCATAAGAAAATAAATAGGAATAGTCTCATCTTGTTTGAAAAAAAATAAAAAAATCTGAATGTTTAGATTATTATTATTATTTTTTTATTCAGGCTTCTCTTGAGCCTGAATTATCAACAAATGCATTAATTAAAATTGATATTAGTCGATTATTAAAATACTTTTAGCCCTACTCACTGACTTCATATTTCCATCTTACCGCTAACACTTGT